CTTGAGGTCACACTGCAGCAGGAGACAGAGCAGAGCTTGGGGTCACACTGCAGCAGAAATAGTGCTGTGCTTGGTGTCACCTTGGGGTACCAACTGGAGACAGAAGAGAGCTTGGGGTCACACTGGGCACCAACTGGACACAGAGCAGAGATTGGGGTCACAGTGAGGGTACTGGCTGACTTTAGCTGGCAGTAATTTTTGACAAATACTTAATTGGACACATATCAAAAAGTAGCAGAGTGAAATGATACGGTGATATACAAGAGAGAGCATGGAGTCAGAATTAAAATGGAGCAAAGGGCAAGGTAATGTGGGAAACATGTGAGAACCAATGGACATCTACAGCACGGAGTCCATCCTTCAGGGAAAAGGAGGACATGACAGTAGTTGCCATTAGTTTAGAATTAGATCTTTAACCTCAGCTTGATTAGTGGTTTTAGCTAGGAAGTCACTAGTACATAAATAAAACCAACTTTTAAAATAATGATGTTAAGGTGAAGCATTTATAGATGACATGTAAGATATTTACAAAGTAAAATTTAAGACAGTTGTACCATCCTGTCTGAAGTTAAAGATTATAGCCCTTCAATGATACGTAGGGTCTAAGCTATGAACTGTTGTAAACCAGATAACCTCAAATTCCCCCCCCAAAACAGGAGCAATACTCAAAAGCAAGTATTCTGATAGTTGTATTTCATTTTACATAACTGAATTCTTGATTATATTGGAAGTAATCAGAATATTTCAAATACAAGGTACTGCATGGGTAAAATTAAAATGTAGCGCAATAGTGATCCTATAATGATTGTATTTGATCTTTTATAGCCTGACAGTTTGCATGATTCTGTATGTTCAATGTGCTTTAGATGAAGAAGATACCATTATAAATATCCCCCCTCTAAAACAGTGTAATTCTTGTTTAAGATTACACAATGACGGTAAATTTTTTCATTCCATGAAATTTACAGAACAACCCTTTGTTCAACCCTCTATCTGGATTAAAATGCTAAAGTTTTATGTTTTTCCACTCAAGTGCGCAGTGTTTCCTCTTTAATTCTGACCTTTGACCCTCTTTCACCCAACAATTGACATCTGGTCATTATTTCTTTTACTGCTTTCCACCCCCTGTTGTCAGATGGACTGTTCTGTTGTCTAAAACACTTGATAGGTGGACAGGTTTATATAATCCGAGGTGAGTTCCTGTAGAGGCTAATTGGATGTTGTCTTTTCATGCAAAAACAAAATGCCCTAAAACTTGCCAGCAGTGAGACTGTCCACCATGTTGATTTCCAAAACAATGCACATTTTTATCTGTGGTATTTTAAATAAAACTAACTTAGACTTTATCTCTGATTATGGATGATGGTATTCAGAATATCAACAAATGAGCAAAACTTTTTAAAATAAAAGTTATTTTTTTTATTTCTTCGCATTTTGACTTACCATAGAAATACATATTTCATGAGACCATTGCAATTATCTTTGAAATTAATTGAAATTTTGATATGAAGTACACATGATGGATCAACATGCTGAGATCATTTGCATGAGTCTAACAGACTTGAAAAGTCTATTAAAGTGAGGGTCTATGTCCCGTAGAGAAAGGCCTTGAAGTGTTACATTTCACTTTGTACACGTAACATCATATAAGTGTTTTTGTAAATGATGAAAATAATTAAAATATCATTCTTAAAATTTTACATTAAATTATGCCTGAAAGAAACCCAATAGTATTTAACTTACCCTCCCCTAACGCACATTAAATGTACTCTTGCATGAAACCAGAAGAAAGTTTTACTTGGTTTGCTAAATGTTGACCCCTTAAGACATTTGGCTTCATTGGGACCCTTAAATGTTTCAATATATATCTAAAAACCACATCCATGCAGAGATTCTTCTGACATTTCATCTTAAGCTGTTTCAATGTCACCTTTGCATTCTTGTCTCCCTCCTCTCCTCGCCATCTGCCTTCATTTCTGTTTGTTTGTTTATTCCTACTCTCTGAGAACACAGTGGAATGCTGTAGTGTTGTGGCTAATTGAGCTTGCTAAGTGTCTATTAATGCTATGATGTCCCGCTTAGTGGAGTGAGTAGGGTGGTGATGGGCAGGGGAGGTTGTGGGAGGACAATGAGGGCGGGAGGGGAAGGAAGGATTATGAGGTATACCTTTAAATTCCATTCCTAGAAAAATAGTGAGGCCAAGCCATTATTACTACAGCCCAAGAATTTTCATCCTACTTAGCATTCTCTGTGCTTGTTATGTTTTTAGTAAGCATTTTCATCTAAATTGAGTTAGTTGAGTTTCCATCAAACATGGTATACACCATATCCTTATAAAGTGTAACTACCTGATTTATCTTAAGAAGCATTGTCAGTTTGTTTCAAATGATATTTGCGGTGTGTTGGTTTTCTTCCTTCAGATACATATGTTAAGTTAACACTGCTGAATTCCATGGGCCAAGAGATGTCCAAATGCAAGACATCCACCCGCAGAGGGCAGCCGAATCCGGTGTACAAGGAAACTTTTGTTTTTCAAGTGGCCTTGTTTCAGCTTTCTGACGTGACTCTGATACTGTCTGTGTATAACAAGCGCAGCATGAAAAGGAAGGAGATGATAGGCTGGATTTCCTTAGGTCTGAACAGCTCTGGGGAGGAGGAGCTCAGACACTGGACTGCAATGAAGGAGTCAAAGGGACAGCAAGTGTGCAGGTGGCACGCACTGCTGGAGTCCTGAGGAGGACGACTGGAAGCCCAGCACTGCCTCAGAGGAGCCATTCCCTGCAGAGTCCTCTTCAACACCCTACCACAACACTTCACGTCAGTGAAAGATGGTCCAGTGCTGAGCAGAGGGGAAGAAGCTTTGTCTCTGGTAAAGCGAGCTCACAGGAGAAACCAAGAAACTTGTGTCCGTAATGTTCAACAGCCCTTCAGAAATCGAATTGCATACTTTTTCATCTGAACTTGATTTTCTTAGTGAAAGAACTAGGAATTCCATGGAGATTGTGGCTTTAAACCAGAGTTTCTATTGCAGCACTATGTACCATCACCCACATGCTGTCCATAAGGCAGTCTTTGGGTGGATCTCAGTGAGCACAGTCCTGTCTCAAGGTGAAGGTTCACTCTCACTAATGATAGTTTCATTTCAGATATGTTCTCTCTGTGCCTCAGCCTTTCTCTATAGTACTAACCCAAGTGCAAAATTCCCTGAAGGACAGTTTAAGGTTGGTTTGTTTGACGTTTATTCCTTTACCTCCTCTGTTTTCCCCTGACCCAAAGAGACCATGCCCCTATGATCCCTCACAAACCTTTGACTGTACTGCAGAACGTCATGACTTTATGTTCAAGTCCTCTGTGTACCGTGTGTTCCAGTGCAGAAAATGGTAGAACAGAGCTGTCACTTGGACTTGCTTTCAGTGGTCAGTCTTTACAGCTGTGTGATGCATGCGGCAGACACAGTAGATAGCTGTTGAAATTGAAGGACAACTCTAGTGGAAATGTGACTATCTGTTCCAAGTGTCTAGTCTCCAACAGGAGTAAAATAAGTAGCATTCAAAACAGAAGCTCCTGGAGTCCTTCCTCACTCACTCCCACTTCTTTGTGGTTCTGTTTTATTCCAGTTAAAATCATTCTGAGATCCCTTGTGCTCTAGTGACTTGTGCTGTGTTCTGTGATGTCTTCAGCATGATGTCACCCTGTGCCTTCCATGCAAGTTGACCTTGCTTACACAGCTGGGAAGCCGTAGTTGTGAGTTTGGCCTTTAGCACTCATAGGTGTGAAACTCCTTGGCAGTCTTGCATGGCCTTGCCCTGCTCTGCAGGAAGCGAGGCCATGCACTGTGCTGGCCTCCATTCTGCAAGCATTTTCCTATCGTGTTTTCATATTTAGAAACTACAGATCAACTGGAAATAGTGTAAGCTATTTTCTTTTTAATTTTTCTTCTTAACAAAATTTTATGCATATACTTTATTAGAGTCTGTTTTGTATATGTGAAAATATTTTCCTTTTGCTCTTTCTCATTTCTAGTTAAACTAGGCAAAAGCATACTATTGACCAATTAGTGAAACGCTGTATCATGGTTCCAATCCCAGCTGAGCACTTTGGACTGTTACTGTGAACTAGAACTCATCAGTACCAAACTAGCAGAGTTGTGCGCTGACTTACTAAAATGTAGCAGTACTGAAAGGCCTTAAGAAACCCCAAAAGACTTTTTATCTTAAAAGAAGGCAACTTTATACTTTCAAACTCAGCATTTTAAGGAAAAGAAAATGCAAATAAGATGCACAGAGTTGCTTTTAAAATGGAAGTTTCAGAGCCCAGCATGGTGGCTCATCCCTGTAAACCTAGCACTTAGGAGGCTGAGGCAGGAGGATTGCTGTGAGCTTGAGGCTAGCCTGGGCTACATAGTTACAGGGCCTTCCTGGGCTACAGAGTGAGAACTGTACCACCAAAATATGTTACAAAGTTACATTTAAAAAAAAAAAAAAAGAAGAAGAAAGTATCCTCCTATCCTCCATCAGTGAACTTCCCAGAATCACTTTGCTATACAGTGAGTCGGGTTAGAAATTAAAACATGAACAAGAAGCAAGTTGGTTTGTTTTTTTTAAGTGTTATTAAAGAACAGAGTGAGGCAAAACATGAACAGGATATAGGTTACACTGAAAATTGGGCACAGGCATTTGATGCTCCAGTGAGGTTTCGCTGGCTTTGAAACAACCGCCCACATGACTAACAACTGCTGTCTTCCTAATAAAGTCTCTGGTCTTTTTTGTAACAAAGCTCAGTTGGACATTACAAGACCAGCCTGGTGCTTTTACTGTGTTGAGAGGAAAATCTGTTATTTGTTAAACCTCCTTCCTGGAGTCTGGGCCCAGAACTGTGTATACTCCCAAAGATCCTCAGGGGTATCTGGCATGGTATAAGTATCACGTTATATATGGCCAGGAACTCGGTTTCAGTCTTCTTTAACATTAGGAACAGCTGTCCCTCCCTCCATCCCACCTGCCAAGTCCTCAATGATTACAAATTATATATGTGCACATAACTACACACGTAAATGCACATGTAAAGGTGAGAGTGCCCTGCCTTTTCACATAACTGAATAGAAAGGCATTTCTCCAGGTCATGGATTGCTCTTTTCCTTCTCTGTGTAATTCCCAAATGTGATACTAGGTTTGTAGCCAAATGCTGCCATTCTGCTGCATATAAAGCAAGTATGCACCTTTTTCTCTCCTGTGATATAACACAGATACTTCTCCAAATTATCTGGGCCACAAATGTTGACTCTGGAACTTGAGAATGACAGTCTACACCCTTATTATTCTGCTAAAGTCAAATGAAATGTCCAGATTCAACAGCTGACTAGTATATGGGCATTCAAGAGCCTAGTTTCTTAACTTTCCTGATGTGGCTTGTTGATTTTTTTTTTTTTTTTTTTGGTTTTTCAAGACAGGGTTTCTCTGTATAGCCCTGGCTGTCCTAGAACTCACTCTGTAGACCAGGCTGGCCTCGAACACAGAAATCCGTCTGCCTCTGCCTGATGTGGCTGTTGATTACTGCCCAGAAGTGCAGTATTGCCCCAACTTTCAGAAGCTTCTCCAGTCTCGGTGCCTGAATACTAGCCACCTTCTATTTGACATACAATTGCATGTTACCTCACTGCACATCGATGAGTTTTCAGTAAGGTTGTGCTCACCTTCAAAAGTAGCTCATTAGGCCATGTTTTAAGAAACAGAGACTTAAGCTGCCTGGATGCCTATGCTGTTGCTGTAAAGTTGGGCCTTGGCAGGGGAGTTTGTTCTGATCTGTGCAAAACCCAGCTCTGTCTGCTAAATCACTGCTGCTTCCACAAACTGGGAGCATAGCCAGTGCCTGGGAATGTGACTGCATCAATAGGGAAGCAGAGACAGAGTCTAGGCTGTTCTTGGCAATGAGGAATACAAATGACATCGCAGCTTTACGAGGGAACTAAGAAACAGGTGAGCTGTTTGAAGAATACATGGTGTAAGGCCAGTGGTCACCAACTTTTCTAAATCCTTGTTCAGATGTGAATAGAAATAACACAAAGTTCATTTGCATAAAGCTACCACTTACCTCCATAGACTGAAGAACTCAGAAAAATTCACACTGCTAGTTGTTCTTTGCAAGTTTCTTTTTCTTACTTTCTTTATTATCCAAGATTCTTCCTCTTCCTCTGTCAACTAAACACAGACATCAGTATCACCGTCACCAGCCAGTGATACTGAAACAAGAGGAGGAATGCAGTAAAGCACCTTAAAACCACACCTGTGCCCTCCACGGTGACAGTACTGGTGATAGTTACTGCCGTAACTTAGGAAAGAACTAACACAATAATGTACTACTGTCTTATCTGACTCACAGAACATTAAGATACAAGTAACATCATCAGTGTTTTACTCATGAAGAAGTTGCTGCATGGAGAGGCTGCACTGACCCCCTCAGGCTGCCCCTCTTAAGTAAACCCAGTAGAACTGGGATTGCTCCAAACCCACTCATGCGCGTTGTGTCTTAACCCGATTTATTATGGATGAAAGGAGCAGCATCATATTGGGCAAGTCCTGCCCAGCTTATCAGAATAGCAGAGAGAGGCCCAAGAGAACAGAGCTTGGAAAAACAGTGCAGGGGGCTTGCCTTCTCGGGATACAAACCATACTTTGACATCATAGTTCATGAGTGATTTTTATTTAAGGACTTGGGATTTGTTTGTTGTGTCTACAGTGTCCTTATATTCTGAAGATATATTAACTCATTTGTTCTTCTTGACCAAGGTATTTCCATTGCCTGTATACACTTTTCTACCCTGTGAAATGACGGAATGTCTGCTAACCTGTACTTGTGTCAGGAGTCAGAGGAAAGACTGTTGCCTTCCTTTGCACACTTACCCAAGTCTGTTTATATTTCTTTTGTTAAAGTTTGTTAACATTAGACTTGATTTCCACACACCCTCTTCACCTTCATTGTTAGTGATTGCTGTATCCTAGAGTCTTTATGAGCCCTTTGGCTAATAGGAGGCACACAGCAATGCTGATGAGTGCAGTCTCTATGGTAGGATCAATCCTACCATTGTGAATGTCTTCTGTGAACTTTGTCTACTGAGGAGGTTTCCTTTTATATATATATATATACACACACACACACATGGACCCCATCTGTGTGTCCCTGCTCTTGTAGAGACTACAGGCTGGACAGACAGTCTGCCCTCATCTTGTGTTTTAATGTATTGAGACAGCATCAGGTGGTGTCTTTTTTACTGTAAGATACAAGGTGTAGAGAGAGGCATGTGCAGGGCATTGGGGTTGAGTGGGAAAGTGCATGGTGAGTTCTATTAGAAGAGGAAAAAAAAGTACTGGTTTGACTCCTATCAATCTCCCCCGTATTAAACAGACAGTGGCTCCCAAGTTGTAATGTACCTAAGAATTCTGTCCAGGTTCTAGCCAGGGATTCTGTTTCATTTGGTGTAGAAGAAAGCCCGAGAGTCTAGATCTGAATGAATTCCCCAGGAAATCCTAGCTGGGCAGTACTGGGATATATATACTTTGGTTTCTTATCTACTATTGTTGGCAGCAGTTTCCGTGCCCATGGATTAAGTCTTGATGTGGTGGTGGTAAGGTTTGTAGTCTCGGGGTAACTGTGAGGAAGCAAGCTTCCTGCAAATGAAGCTTCTCATTCTCTCCTTCTGATCTCTCTCAGGTTGCTTTACACAAACAATTTCCAAAA